ATTTATCTAGCTCATCTAATAACCAGTATCGTTGTATCTTTTTGGGGGAAAAATCGTGAAAAGTATACACCATTGAAATGCAATGTACGAATTAACGAGAAGTAATTAAAAATAGATAAGCATTTGAAAATGAAGAATTAAAAAAATTTTAAATAAACGAGAAGATTACAAATGAACGAAAATAATATCTACCATTCGTATTATTTATCTGGATCATTTAATAACCACCATCATCTTTTCAGAAAATCGTGAAAAATATACGCCATTGAAATGCGATGTACGAATTAACGAGAAATAATTAAAAATTGATAAAAATGAGAAAATGAAGAATTAAAAGAATTTTAAATAATCGAAAATAATATCTACTAATTGTGTTATTTATCGAGCTCATCTAATAACCAGCATCATTGAACCTTTCTTTCAAAAAATAGTGATAAATATACACAATTGAAATGCAATATACAAATTAACGAAAAATGATTAAAAATTGATAAAAATGAGGAAATGAAGAATTAAAGGAATTTTAAATAATCGAAAATAATATCTACCTATCGTATATCAGTCCTTATCACAGGAACTCCTACGTCGTTTTTTGTTTTTTTTTTTTTTTTTTTTGAAAATCGTGAAAAGTATATGAGACTGAAATGCAATGTACGAATTAAAGAGAAGTAATTAGAAGTTGATAAAAATGTGAAAATGGATTCGACGTTACACCGGAGACCTTCTGTTCGTGCAATTTTCCAGTTACCGCAAATTTTCCACAAACTTTCATCTTTTCGCGATATCCCGGATTTCAAATAACTTTCTGGAACGAACTCTGTATCAAAAAGCTCGGAATAAATGCTCGCTGCAAAAACCTGCCGACAGACGTTTTTACATTTACTAATTAAAAATCAGCTGCATGCGTTCGACTCTGAGAGAGAGAGGCAGGAAAATAGAACCCGGAAGCGGCAGAGGTCGTTATAGAGTTAATGCACGCGATGTTTGCAAGCCCAGTGCAATCAATCTATGAATAAGAAACGAAGTTACCGATGATATAATTGATAATTGAAACTCATTACGAATCTTTCTTTCTAATATATTGCCAAACTATCTCTTTCATCCTCATTTTCCTTCGTTCCATTTATTATTCCTTATACTCCATTTCTGATTAAATTATCGTTAAATATTTTCTCGCAATTTCTGCAATTATGGTAATCATATTTTGCCAATGAAACGAATGAAATTTGCTTATTTCTTCGCTCTCTAACTGTATTCCTATTTGCTACTTTTAGTTCATCGCGAAAATGGAAATTTTCTTGTTTGAAGTACGAAAAATGACGGTAATTGTTAATAAATTTTAATAAATTACTAAAGTTACTAAAAATGAGAATAGTCTGCTGATTTGTTATAAATAGCAAATATCCAAGGACGAAAATTTTGAAAAATATCTTGAACGGTTTCGTGTTTGACATTATGAATATTATGTAGCCCGAATGTTAAAAATCATGCCAGTAACCACGATACGCATGCGAACTTAATCTACGAATACGGAAGCACAGTGTTGATTGTAAAACCTCGCAGTGGTCACAGAAACACTGAAAGCATTGGATCCGGTTTCGTGATACGGCTCTGTGATTCAGTTCTACGATAATCAAAAAATATGACGTTTAGTGTCCCATAAATTATACCTGGTATGATTCCTGGAATATTTATAAATAATTCCTTTTCCTAAATTTTCTCGCATATTTACCAATGCACGTGTGCTTTTATCTTGCATGTTCAAAATGTGTACGAATTGAAATAAATTTCCTGTCCCATTTTAATCCACGCGTGTGTAATACGAGTGATTTATCAGTGAAGTTGAAGTAAAACTTTAACAGGGTGACGAATAAATTCGGAAAATTTCACGTTTCGAAATTCCGGTGAAAATTCGCGAGGAAAATAATTTATTCGGTAACAAAAGTAACAAATAAGATATATCGACCAGAAATATATTTGTCAAACGTAGCTGACCGTGAGTATTAACAATGATTTATAAAATGAATAAATGAAATGCAATTCAGGTTTCGTTTCGATTATTAAACGTTGGAAAACTAGTTACACAAACGTTAACAAATTCAACAGAACTAACAAAGCATCCAATCGATACTAACAACATCTGTCTGTGACATTTAACCGAAGTGTGTCAATTGTACTTGTCATTTCACTGGTAAAAGAAGGCTGCTGGAAAAAGTACAACACTACATCAAACTCCCAAGGAGACTTACGAATAGGCGTAAATATCGCGCAATTTTTCTCCACTTTCCCCAAACTAAAATATTAAGAAATATCGGGAAATTTTACCGCGACGAATTTATAAAAGGGAAAAATAAAAAAGAAAAACACAAACGAACGTGCGATCAACATAATTAAGCTGGAAAAAGAAACCTTTGAGAAAATTAAAGACCCGAAAGAAGGCTTAAAGAATCGTAAATACGTCGAGAAACGTGAGTCGAAATTAGGACAAAAAATTCACGTTAAATTCCGAAACTTTGAAGTCAAACTAAAAGACATTTTAATGAAACTTAAAAATCTAAGGTAAATTCGAGAAATCCTAATTAAAATGAAAGTTCGTACCGCCGAGAGAACGTTGTTTCCACCGAATCTTTAAACCGACAAACCAGCAAGAATTAAGAAAACGAGCTTAATTTATTCCGTCGACTTTTCTTCGAGCTTCTGAATTTTACTACAGGAAACGTGCTTACGGCTAACCGGATTTTCAACCCGCCTGAAAAAAGCGACGCAACTTTGAAAAAGAATTTCAGGCGAGAACGGAATTCAAGCTCTCCCGTTGTTTCCACTGCGAGCTTTATATCGATGGTGAATTTCGCATGAAAGAATTTCGCTGCCACACGGAAGAAGCTTGTTTTTCTCGATCGGAGTCCATGACACAGTTTAAAAAATAGATGCATTAAAACCGACGTTGTTGGACTCGTTTATCGAATTTTCAAACGAAAATTTTGAGTCGAAATTAAGAATCGAAAGTATAGAAACAGTCAGGAGGTACGTTAATTTCATGAAATCTCTTCAGAGATGAATTTTTCTTAAGGTTCCAATGACTTCGAAACAATGATTATAAAGTAGAATAAATCACTATTAGCAGTGACGAGATTTTCATTTTATTGTCGAGGGATTGGTGAAACTAAAGTGAATAGTTCTCTAACTGATTCTAATTTTGTTTTCACTTATAACAATCACAATTTAATAAAAATTAACCTGCATGTGTTTACCAGTATTTCTGAAGAAGTTAACCTTTAAAAATTGTAAAGGTCATGAAGAAGAGTCACTTGCAAAAATATCTATAATCTAAACAATCTATACCAACCTATCCAAAACAATATCCTTATCAAGTTTATCGAAATTAAATCAATAATATTTCATTATAAATTTATAAATCAAAATCAGGGACAAAAAGACCTATATTATATACTAAATTCCATCTTAACTGAAATTGTTACTAAAATATTGGAGGTTAGGAACGATAACGAAGATTAAACTTTACAGACACGCAATTCATTTTCTACAGAAGTGAAAATCAGAAACAAAAATACATACACTAACTTCCATCTTAACTGAACCTGTTACTAAAATATTGGAGGTTAGGAACGGTAACGGTGACTAAACGACATATATGCTTATACAGTTACAAACATGCGTTACATTTTCTACAAAAATAAAAATCAGAAACAAAAATATACGTACTAAATCCCATCTTAACTGAACCTGTTACTAAAATATTGGAGGTTAGGAACGATAACGAAGATTAAACGATACATATGTTTATGCAGTTACAGACACGCAATTCATTTTCTACAAAAATGAAAATCAGAAACAAAAATACATGTACTAACTTCCATCTTAACTGAACCTGTTACTAAAATATTGAAGGTTAGGAACGATAACGATGATTAAACGATATATATGTTTATACAGTTATACATAATATGTTTATACAAAAACAAAAATACATGTACTAAATCCCATCTTAACTGAACCTGTTACTAAAGTATTGGAGGTTAGGAACGATAACGATGATTAAACGATATATATGTTTATACAGTTACAAACACGCAATTCATTTTCTACACGCGAATATTCAGTATAAATACATAAGAAAAAAAGAAATATAATATTACCATACTAATTTCTCGCTTTTTTTCCAATCGTACTGATATGCAGGCTGCATATCTGACCCGGAAGCATCGGTTGCATTTATCGGTGCGGTAACTCGCCATGTAGAAATAACGATTACCAAAATGCGGTAACATGCTGGTTGCGATAACGTTCCTAGTTTATTACTGTTTGCAGTTTTCATACTCCGAATTTCTTCGCACCTGAATATACCCGATACACTGTTACACGCAAGACAGTGACGGTAACGATTATGGCAATAACAACACGCGATATTACACGGGTCATTCCATGTATACATTGTCATAGATCATCATCTGTCGATCCATAGATCTAACGAATAGACGATTAATACATCAGACTTTTCTTCTTTTCCAAATCAAATTTGTTTTTAACTGAAGACTGTAAAACAACCACAACTATACTTATTGAATTTTTATAGAGTACTAGATACGTATATCGAGATTAAAAAATAGCGAGCACCTTGATTGATCATTATCTGGACAATGTATCAGTCCTGTTAACACTTGACTGCCATGCTGATCATCAGTGTCCAGCGATACTAATTATTTAAATTTATATTTGTTTTATTCTAACCATTTTTGAATATTTGAACAATGTAAATAAATAGAGAACTCTGAATAGAGAATATTAATAATTTCCATCTTTCTTTTTTTTTGCAATATTGTTTGATAATTCATCATTATATCCTAAGAATAATGGAAATTTTATCGTGGCCCCCTGAACGTACCATATAAAAATTGCGTGGCAGTGAAAATATTAATCTGACGAATATTTACGAGGTCGGAGAATTGTATTAAAATGTTTCTTTCGTTTGTTTGTCACAGAAAATGCCTGTCATCAAAAGAGAAGCGGAGAAGCTGCCGGAAGAGCCACAGCCGGTGGAAGAGGTGCCCGCCTCGACGTCGGAAAATCTTCTGGTCACGGAGATGGATATAAAAGAAGGTAAACGACTCCTGGAACCGTTCTCTGCTCTATCCTCGCGATAGAGATCGCCAGGCTTTTCACGGTGATTAACGTTGCTCGCGTTTCGCAGCCACGGAGGCGGAAGTGGTGACCGAAAGTGCAGGGAAGAACTTTGAGACCCAAGTGGAGAACCTCGGCAAGAAGCTCGCGGAGGAAACGGGAATACCAACATGGGGACTCGTAGCGATTCTAATAGGTAAAAGCAAGATTAGATCGCGATTTCATTGTTGTTTGAACGACGACAGGTTCACCGCCAAGCTTGTACTCCCAGAAATATGTGACAATTGAGATTTTTAGGAACGATCTCTCCTTAGAATACGTAAACTCTATGGATCTCTTGCTGGAATGAATTTATTAGCATAGTTCAATCACAGATTCTTTTATAAAATATCAATTGAACGTTTGAAAACAGACTTCTCCTAATTTTATCGACAAATTTCCAAACTACGGGGATTAAAATTTAAAATAATATTATTTAGCCGAAAATAAACACCAAGTGATCCGTCAGTTATTAAATATCACAGTAGCGTGTACAAGTTTCTAGATTCAAGCAGAACGCAAGTAAAATACGATATAGAATATTTTACAAAGAAATTCGTACAAGAATCACACGATCTGTAAACATACTGCACCCCTTTACCTAAACGACAGTCGCCCCTGAAACATTCGACTCTTTCAGATAACTCTAGCCTCACGTACCCTAAACGAACAACATTAATCACGCAAATTTCCTTTGTTTCAGTTGCGTCGAGTGTCGATGAACACTCGAACACGTCACATAATCAAACCATATAATATCACATACGTATACCTAATTCGTAATAAAAGAAAAGAAACTCTCATCCAATATACAGGCAGAGCAATAACACCGAAATAAAAACAAAAGAAAAGAATGAGAAAAAATATAAATTTTCGCTTTCGCGCTTGCGAACTGCGCTTGAATAGGTGCGGCGAGCATGCTAGAAGGCGCCAGATTTAAAAATACCCGTGCATCCGTCGAACCCGCCATTTTTTAATTCGATCTTTCGATTTTTTCCCTTTTACGCTTGAGTAGCCGTAGGCGTAGTAGTTCTCGGAATCTGCTTCTGCTGCATCAGAAGATGCTGTCGCAAAAGACGATCCAAGGACGGGAAGAAAGGGCTGAAGGGTGCGGTAGACCTCAAGTCCGTGCAGCTATTGGGCACCACGTACAAAGACAAGGTACGTATTCGGTGTTCCGTGACTTCAAATAGATATTAGACGCACATTCTACACTCGTGGAATCCACTTCGATTTGTTAAGGTCCAGCCGGATATGGAAGAATTGACCGACAACGCGGAGGAGCCGGACGAAGCCGAGAGCAAGCAGAGCGAAGTGAAACTCGGGAAACTGCAGTACAAGGTAATTCGGCGATCTTGCCATACTTGCCCGAGAAACAGAGTTTCGCGTCTCGTTTCCCAAATTCGTGAATGACCAAAGTGGATCGCGTTGGAAACTTAGACAGGGGAAGAGGATGAAACCCTTAGGATTAGAGTCTCTGTGGTTCTAATAGGATCTTGGACTCTATTAATGCAACACAGGGATCAAGGTGAAGATGGTAATGAGGTATGGAATCGAAGACACTAACCCGTGAATGTCTGACAAGATTATTTATTTCGTGGTACCAAGTATATCTCAGAAGACTACATAGACGCCAACTCTTCTATACTCCGATTCTAACGACTGCTTCAGTATTCTGTCAAACTAACTACTCGCTGACTCTTGCTGATTTTTACTAACGACTAGCTCAGTAACTAACTTCGTGACTGACTAACTAACCTGACCTTTAGACACGGGCCTTTTAACCCTTTGCGTACTACGTAAACCATCAATTTGGCCGAGGAACTCATATATGTGTCATGTTTGGCGAAAACAACTGACAGAGCCGAAGGATATATATGTGTCTCACGTAAATGCATCACTGTGGTCAGATATGTATAGAATTTGACATTTTTGAGTGCTATCGATGAAAAGAGCGACTAAGCAGAAGTGTGCAGTGACAATTTGAAATACCTATCATGACAGCAACTAGACTCCATGGTACGGTTAACTTCGAACCGTCCCGTCCGCAAAGGGTTAACGTGTCCGAAAGGCTAGCATCTCCTCTGAAGAAGAAGACGCTCCCTACACACCAAGGTCAGTGATGGAGGAAGCTCCTCCTTTTGGATGAGGCTCTCCGAAGGGTCACCCTCACGGTTGCGTCAGAGAAAGCCAGTTCACGTGGCCTAGCTCAGATTTGCGGCACATATGGCAGCCATATTCTAAGTGTTGAAGCCTCGTTACCTAAATTAGGCTTTCGACCAACGCCTCGTGACCTGAAGTAATAAAGAACACTGACAAATACGCGATTGAACACCGAGTAATAAACTATACAGCACTTGGAACTTAGCTGTTAGAAGGCATTGTTTCACGTAGGAACACTTCTGCTTAGAATCCTAAAAACATCCTACAGTAACGAGAATTGACACTTAGGTGTCTCTGATTATGACTAGATATTCCCTGACAGAGCAAGTTCCAATCTTAATTAGCCCTCGCAGAAACGAGTCTGCGAATCTTTATTTCTCGGGTGAGCACGGTATAAGTACAGGATAAAACGAGTTCGCAAAGTCTTTGTCAGAGTAAGCAGACGCGTAGGTGAAAATTGGATAATTCGCGGGTTACTCGTAGGTTTGTTTAACCTAACGAAATCGATCACTATATCGACGAACGACGCTTGCAGCTGGAGTACGACTTCAACACGAACAGCTTGGCAGTGACGGTGATACAAGCAGTGGATCTGCCAGCCTTGGACATGGGTGGCACCTCTGATCCCTACGTGAAGGTTTACCTCCTGCCAGATAAGAAGAAGAAGTTCGAAACGAAAGTGCACAGGAAAACGCTCAATCCTGCCTTCAACGAAACTTTCACGTTCAAGGTTCGTCCCGGTTCCACCTAGATAGGTAGATCGTGAAACAGATAGAGGGTCAAAGCGTTTGTCTTTTCAGGGCTTGCCATACGCGGACGCGATGAACAAGACGCTCGTCTTCGCGATCTTCGACTTCGACAGGTTCTCCAAGCACGACCAAATAGGCGAAGTGAAGGTACCACTGTGCCAAGTGGATCTGGCTCAGACTATCGAGGAATGGAGAGAATTGCAGAGCGTCGAGGGCGAGGGTGGCCAGGTAAATTGTCTCGAATGTTGTTTTACCAAAGTTCATTCACGAAATTGAACCTTTCCTTAACCTCTTAGGCACGATATGTCATTATAGAGCCTTTCGTGGATGACACCTTTCTGAACAATGCACCACTATAGTGGCTCACTCGCTCACTGTCTCAATTAAATGATCTTTCCATGTGTTTCGTTTCACAGTCTCTTCGCGTTTACAATATTTTATAACAGTGTTAACAATATACAGACAGAATATACAGTCTTTGCTTTTGACATGTCAGTGTCAATTGTGAATTGTTGCTTCTCATTTAAATAAATATACCATTTGCTATTAGTATATTAGATGCTCTTTTTAACATACCGATACGTGTCCTTATAAATTTTTAGAACAGCATTGCAGTGCTGTATCGGTTACGCGTTGAGCCCTGCGCAAAAGTTCAACCGTGCCAAAAAGGTTAAAGATGTGTTAAAAATAAGTTAAATGCGTAACGGAATTTAATGCAATTTCCATTTGGAATTTACGAATCTCGTTGAAAAGAAAGGAAAGACAGAAGTGGTTTGACTTTGATAGTACCGTTTAAATATTTGCGTTCTTTGTGGAGGGAGGATCATATAAATTGGTGAATTACAGGATAACAAATTGGGTGACATTTGCTTCTCGCTTCGATACGTGCCCACCGCTGGTAAATTAACGGTGGTGATCCTGGAAGCGAAAAATCTGAAGAAAATGGACGTCGGCGGCCTGTCGGATCCTTACGTAAAGATCGCTCTGATGCAAAATGGCAAGAGATTGAAGAAGAAGAAAACGTCCATCAAAAAGTGCACTCTTAATCCGTATTACAACGAATCCTTCACGTTTGAGGTACTCTTCGAGCAGATACAGGTACGTATCTTTAATATCTCTCTATTACAGACCGTTTATTTCGCCCCGTTTGTTTGACACAGTTCACAGACACAGGTAAAACCAGTAACAGTGCATATACTTCAACATTTTTCTACTACCTTTGTCACGTTGATTAGCACATATTTTCTCTTTGAATTATTTCCTTAGACAAAGACCACGACAATAACTTTATCTTCCTTTATTTTTGTACCTCTATAACGTAAGGAATTTAGTAAATAGCCAAGATCGCGTTGCAAACGGACGATTTGACCGTGGTCTGCGTAAAAACAATGTCATTGAAAGCAGGGACAAATGATCCGTGTGTAACGCGTTAATAAAAAGCCTTCCATAAGGTGTCAGCTGTATAGCGCGTGCCATTTTTGCTCGAGTAAACAATGCCGTTATAAATAAACGAGAAAGTTCTTTCTGATTTTTATTTTTGAAAGGAATAAAACTAAAATGGCGCACACTCGGCTTTTATACCTTCTAATGCTTATTTAAGAAGGGACCAGGTGCTACCTTATGAAGGGACCAATGTTCAAGTGTCATACTTCCGGATCGTAAAACGCATACTATAGATTGTATATTCTCTGCTACGTAATTTACTTTGCCGCGTAAAATGCTCTCACTCCTCTCACACGAGCTTAAGAATTACGCTTAAACGCTTTGCATGCTCTTTGAACCGAAGGTCAGACGTGTCTAAAGAAGGAACATTCTCTTTAAACCAACGTAAGTTCATCCGACAAGCTCTGCTTACTGGCTCCATACGTGCATCGTGTAATTCTTTCTCCATATCGCAAATTATTCCAAAATTCTCCATCCCATAATATTTCATAACGTCGACTATTTTTCTTTATTTATACCTATAGACTGGATCTCCAAAACGATTTCTAAAATCCGTAAATTTTGCTATCCCTATGTCGAGTATTTTGTAATTGTCAAATACTTCCATTCCCGTTGTCACGTTTTCATTTTCATTCATAATTTTCTATGTCGAGTATTTTCTAATTGCCAAATATTTCTATTCCCATTGTCACGTTTTCATTTTCATTCATAATTTTCTATGTCGAGTATTTTCTAATTGCGAAATATTTCTATTCCCATTGTCACGTTTTCGTTTTCATCCATAATTTCCTATGTCGAGTATTTTCAAATTTTCAAATACTTCCATTCTCGTTGTCACGTTTTCATTTTCATTCATAATTTCCTATGTCGAGTATTTTCTAATTGTCAAATACTTCCATTTTCGCTGTCACGTTTTCGTTTTCATCCATAATTTCCTATGTCGAGTATTTTCAAATTTTCAAATACTTCCATTCTCGTTATCACATTTTCATTTTCATCCATAATTTCCTATGTCGAGTATTTTCTAATTGCCAAATATTTTTATTCCCATTGTCACGTTTTCGTTCTCATCCATAATTTCCTATGTCGAATATTTTCTAATTGTCAAGTACTTCCATTTTCGCTGTCACGTTTTCGTTTTCATCCATAATTTCCTATGTCGAGTATTTTCTAATTTTCAAATACTTCCATTCTCGTTATCACATTTTCATTTTCATCCATAATTTCCTATGTCGAGTATTTTCAAATTTTCAAATACTTCCATTCTCGTTATCACATTTTCATTTTCATCCATAATTTCCTATGTCGAGTATTTTCAAATTTTCAAATACTTCCATTCTCGTTGTCACGTTTTCGTTCTCATCGATAATTTCCTATGTCGAATATTTTCTAATTGTCAAATACTTCCATTTTCGCTGTCACGTTTTCGTTTTCATCCATAATTTCCTATGTCGAGTATTTTCTAATTTTCAAATACATCCATTCCCACTCGCGTTTTCGTATCCATCGATAATTTCCTCTTGGACGAGCTTGTTTTTCGCATTCCGGTAAAATGGCGTTACGATTCGGAGGTTATGGCAACGAGAGAAGGAAGCCGTGAGGAGACAATGCGCTAATGCGTGATTTCACGTTTAGAAAGTGCAATTGGTTGTCACGGTAGTCGACTACGATCGTATTGGCACCTCAGAACCCATTGGGAAGGTCGTCTTGGGGTACAACGCGAGCGGAACAGAGTTGAGACACTGGTCCGACATGTTGGCATCCCCGAGACGTCCTATCGCTCAATGGCACACGCTCAAGGACCCCGATGACAGCGACAAGAAGGACTAAGAGATCGTTGAAAGATGTCCAGCATAAAGGTAATGCACACCAAATGGTTCTAAGCAGATACGACAAATGTACAGAAGCGTTATTTTTTTCCTTTCGTTCCGTTCGATTCCGTTCGCTTTCGCCCCACTCGACAAACTATACGTGTATATACGTATATATACGCGCGTACGTGCATCTGCATAATATATATACATATATACGTGTATTTTCCAACGATATCCGTGAACGATGTACCGTAACGAGAATGCAGGATTTTTCTGGACAAAAACGAGCAAAAGAGAAGGAAAGAGACGGAAGGATGTGCAGGAGAAAAGAGAGAGAGAGAAAGAGAGAGGGGGAGAGAGAGAGAGAGAGAGAAAGAGATGGGATGCAACGATCTCCTCGATGTAATCGATCGACTTTATTTGATGAAAAATAATCGTGCACGAGAATAAAAGTGAGATATAGATATGAGAGAAAGGGAGAGAGAGAAAGACAGAGCGAAAGGGTGGGAGAGAGAGCGCGAGAGTGTGATAGAGTAAATAGAGTACCGAAGAGAAAAAGAAAAACATGAAACAAAGGAAATACTTTAGTAGATATTAATAATCTATTATTAAACTAAACAACAATAAAATACCACCAAAAAAGGTTTTAGTATTAAATAATAATATGTTCTCATGGAGTGTAGCGTCTTGTATATACGTATATCTACCATACATTTTTCCGTAGATGTAACAATTGTACGACTTCGAGTAAACGCGTCCTCTTCGAGGTATCCCGAGACGAAGCATTGAATGACTTTCTCACGTACGAGCTCCGATCGTTAGTCTACGTTTCCTTTTCGTCATTTCAATTCCAAACACGTTTGATAAGACGTTTACACGAGACAACAAAGCTGTTAATCTTATTAGAGTTCTATATTTATATACATATGTACGCGCATGAACGTATGCTGTATATTCTATGTATACACCGCGATTGCATAGAGGTATAACGTATACGGTGTAAATTATCCTGAATTGCGCGTACAATTTTGTTTAAAAGAAATAATAGCGACGTTTTGCATCTACAGATCGATAATCACGTTCGCGCAGAAAATTCGTGCGATTAGAAACACGATTTCATGATGATCGATACGCGTAATATCCGCGGAGTGAAAAAGTTTCGTTGTCGGAAGCCTTCCGGCTACCTTTACACTGTTTACTTCGTGCCCAATGGAACAGGCTTTTCGAAATTTTTATTTAATTTCGTCCCCCGTTTGCTTTGACCACGCGAACAAACCGCGAAAACTATGATCGAATGATTTCTCGTGTGAAAGGAGCAATGCTTTCGATCGCGATATCCTCGTACAGTAACGACCTTAGACTATGCGCTACCTGTACAGGGAACTCGGCTGATTGAAACGCCAAGCGGGCGCGTCGGCGGGAAATTCAAATGCTCGCGGCGGGGAAAGGAGGGAACGTTACACGCTTGGACCGTTTCACTCGCAGAATTGTGCCAGTGTAGTTTTTGTTGTAACGGCATCTCTCGATTATAGTACTTTTACTAGTATCATTTCATAAATTACCTGTTCTACGGATAAAACTGTTATAATCGATGGGTGCGAATGGCGGGTTCGTTTGCGAGTGAAGCTGAGGGGAACAAAGAGGACGTCGTTTCTATTGTTGAGTTCTTGAAATCGAATCTGCAGAATATACGGCGAAATCGAGGACGCGAGGCGAGATCTCGATTCACGCGTGCGTTCGATTTTCCCGCGATTCCGCATGTTCACTCTGAGTATACATACGCGTGTACGTGAAAACTGTAAACATATTGGTATATATACATATTATATATATATTTACCACGTGTTATATATGCAGATACTGTTATTGTTTTTCAAAACGTAACGGGCCTACCGATTGTATAACTTACGTTATCGTTCCGTTAAACTGTTTCTCGGATAACGAACATAAAGAAAAGGAAAAAAACGAAGAAAAAGGAACGTAGTGACGAGTCTACGGTGATTCTCTGTGTATCTTGGGAATTGGAAGAAAAAAAGGAAAAGAAAAAAAGGAAAAAGAAAAAATACGAAAAAACAAAATTCGAAGAGAAAAACATTATATACCTACGTTTCGAACTAAACTTTAAACGAAAATAATTACGAGAACGTCCCGAGATCTACAAAGCATTATT